GAATATCTACTACTAGTTTAAACTATCTAACCCATATAGTCCAGTTTTGCTTAGAGGTATCTTGATTAAGGGGGTTAACCCAAGTGCCTCCTCACTTTATTGCTCAGACCTCAGATTGCACTCTTGCTACCTTTGATTGGTCTTACACAAGATTTTGATCCTTCTCACCACCTGTGGCTGGTTATTTTTCAAACCAATTAGGCTCTGCACCGGATTGAGATATTCTAGGCTAGGGCTCTAACCACTATTGAAAGAAGCAGATCGGGGTTTGATTAGGATGGGGTACAGTCCAGTCTATATACTCAAACACAAGGGGAGTTTTGATTAAGGAAGTTGAACACATGTCTCTTGACTTACCATATTGCTCAACCATCATTGACATACTTCTGGCAATTATTGTGACACTATTCGGATGATCATCGCACCACAACACCTTTTCTGGAGATCACAATCCCAACGTCCTACTGGATCAGCATGTGAATGACTTCCTATGGGAAACAGGACTTAATAGGTTATGGCCCCAGATACTATTTTTAATTCAGATCAACCGCCTTCACCTGGGGTTGAACTGGTATCTTGTGATCTGACCTGTGAAGTGTTAACCACTACACTATGGACCCACATATCTTAGTTATCTTATTATTAATACTATAATACAATAATTTAATATAGTAACAACTTATTATAAAAATATACTTGTGAGTTACATGTAGCTTATAAAATATTAATATTTGATCAAAATATATAATTATATTTAAGAATTATATTTAATAAAAGCTATGGCTTTTTATTATCTTTTTTTTTTTTTTTTATTAATTTTTTTACAATAAAATAATTTTATTTACATGTTTTTTTTTATATTATTTTTTTTAATAAATGTTTTTTTTTTCTGCTTAAGGTTTTTTAAAAATATATTTATTATAATAGATAATAAACCAATATGCAGTATATAACTATATATCTCATATTTTATTATTAATTATATAATATAAAAATATTTATTATATTAATAAAAATTATAAGATATATATAGATATATACAGTATATATATTGAGATAAAAAGTATATGCAGTATATGATCTTATTGAATTATTTATGTTCAATTATATTGCTACAAGATTTATTTAAGTTAATTTGCTATACTATCTATATTTAAACCTAGTAATATAATATATACTTTCATAGTGAACCCATATTTTTTGAAAAGATCTATCTAGAGAGTAAAAATTCTACTACTAGTTTTAAACTATCTAATTTATTGATTCAGGCTTGTCTTTGAATAGGATGTATTAATAGAACTAGCTTAAGATACTTTTGAGTTTTCTTCATCTAATTAGACTAGAATTGATTATGAAAGAGAATGTTGTCAGTCGGGATTAATCGTATATCCAAATATATTATATTCTTGTTTACTAATAATTATCATAATACCAATCAGATAATTGTTACACCACTACACCTTTTATGGAGATCACAATCTCAATATCTACTGGATCAGCATATAAATCAGCTTTTTATAAGAAACAACATATTTCAAATTATAACATTAGATATTATATTAATACTATTCAATTGTCTTTATATGAAATTAAACTGGTATCTTGTGATCTAACTTGTAAATATTAAACATTGTGCTATAGACTTACAGGTCTAAGATTATAAGATATATCTTATCTTAATATATATAGTTTTATTTTTATTTATATTTATTAAGTTTTTTGAAAATTATGCCAAAATATTAAAGTGTAATTAAATAATTATAAATAAGATATATAATAAGATTGTTTAAAATCATATTAAAATTTAAAAAAAAAATTAAATATATAAATAGTCAAAAAATTATTAATAAAGAAATATAAAAAATTTGCTTATTTGGTAAATATTTTTACTTGAAGATAAAAAATATATTATTGATTGAATTTGTAATAAATAAAACAAGTAAAATAATAATTAAATAATTAAAATTACTGATAATTGTATAGAAGATTGTTGAATAAAAGAAAATATCCATTAAATAAAAATTGAACAAAATATTAATTAGGAAACTGCTAAACAAAAAATTGAATATAATATTATTAAACAGAAGATTAAATATAAGAATGATAACTGAAAGATTAAATATAAGACTATTAAATGGAATGTTAAATAAAAGGCTTTTGAATAAAATATTAAACAGAATGTTGTTAAATGGAATGTTAAATAAAATGTTAAATAAAATATTTAACAGAAGATTGATTAAATAGTTATTAAATAAAAAGTTAATTAGATTATTGTTAAATAAAAGATTAACTAGATAATTATTGAATAGAAGAATGATCAGATAGCTGTTAAATAGAAGGTTAATCAAATAATTATTAAATAAAAAGTTGAACAAATAATTGTTAAATAAATAGTTATTGAACAGAAAGTTGATTGAATAGTAATTAATCAGAAAATTATTAATTAGATTGTTAAAATAATTGTTAAGATAATTTTCTTTTTGGATTCATTTTTAAAAATTTTTTAAGAAAAATAATTTGTTTTTATATTTAATTTTTGTATAGCCATAACTTTATAATAAATAAATAGTCATTATATCTTTTTTTTTTAAATGCTAAGTGAGGTCTTTCTCAAGGCTTTATTAATTATATGTAGTAAATATAATACATTATATACAAAATCAATAAAGTATAAAGTATATAATAATATATATTGACCTGCCACCATGAGCAGATATATCATTGGAAAAAACTTAAAAAGAAAAACCTAAGAAATTATTTGCTACGAAAAAATAAAAAATAAAAAAAAATATTTTGGACAAGATCGCCAATTGTAAAAAAGAGTAATAGAAGTTTGATTTAGGAGAAAAATATTGATAGCATCTGGAATGGACTATATGCTACTTAATTATAAATAAAAGATATAGTTAATGATTTATGGAGAATAGAAAATTATAGTGGTGATGTGTTTAGGATTTAGGAGTGTATTATCTTTGAATCAATAATCCTTTCCGCAGGGCACAAACCAAATATGTCTACTTAGGTTACTACTTCCTTTTTGATAGCTGGGCACGACTCCAGCAGCAGTAGAGAAGCATTGGCTTAAACTGCCAAATTACAGGGTGCAACTCCCTGGTATCTCACTTCCACTCGCAATAAAAGTATTATACTTTTACTCACATTGGTTAGGCTTTGGCTACCTTTTTTCTTTAATGGTAGCATTGTTGCTTGTGGGTCGCAACTCCTTTGTTGAGATAATAAAAAGTCATGTAGTTGGTAAAAGAGTGTTGTGATTGAGGTATAAGTGGGTCAGGTAACTGGAGCCTGCTCCAATTGCTTGTTTTGTTGTTTGGATGCATGTAAAATAAAGATTATCAGAACCCACGCAGGGCACAGGTCACAATTCTCCCAATCCAGTAGGTTATCAGATCATTTTTGTTGTTAATATTGTTGTATTGTTGTGATTGGTATTGTTGTTGAGTGTGTGAATTTTTTGTTAGAAGAAGACTGGTTGTAAACGAGTTTGAACAGGTTTGGTGTTGTTGTTAAGAATAGAGAAATTTTATTGATCATTTGTAAAGTGTAGATCTTTGGATAGGGTGAAACTGATTTTGGTTTTTGAGTAAATTTGAAAAGAGTGTAAAAAAGTATAGGAATATGACGTAGTATTGATGTTTAGATAAAGAAGAAAAAAATAAAAATTTTACAAAAGTTGTGTTAAGACAAATATTAGATCCAGTAACATTGTTTGAATGTGTTGTTAAGATTGAATTTGTATTGTAGAGAGAGAAAGGTAAAGGAAAAAGCAATTATCATGGTCATAAAGGGAAAGGTACCTAAAGACAAAAAATTATGAAGAAAAGCTGCCACGGGTCTTTCTCCATATAACCAAGAGCCAAGGAAGACTTCCAACTTGCTTAAGTCTTGACCAGAGATCCCATCCCAATGCAACAGTATTCCTTAAAGTCTTTATGTTCTTTGGATTTAAAGCTTATTGCCTTAGGGAATAAAGAAAGTGAGACGCTTCTTGAAAGAAGATTTCCTAAAAAGGAAATTTTTAAAAAATTAGTGGTGAATGGGTGAGAGTTTTTTTTTTTTTTTTATTGATCTACTGTTAATCTTTATATACAACTCTATTATAATAATACTTATTGTATTATTTCAAAATTTTCAAAACTTTTTGTTTAAAAAACTGAAATCAGTTTATTCTCTTCAGATAATCATTGCTTTTCAATTATTCAATCAGATTTTGTCAAAACAAAAAAGCAAAAACTGAACCAATTCAAACTGGTTTTTTAGTATAATAACAACAACAATAATTATCATAATAACAAACAATGTCAATCATATTTTATTATATATATTAACAAGGGGTATATCTTTAAGTCCAGAGCTAATATTCAGATATTCTTTTTGTTTACACAGATTTTATAGTTTAATTAATATAGTTTTAATACAAGTAGTTCATGTGATTATAATCTCAGATATTTTTTTTACTTTTCATTTTATTCTTATATCTTATTAAATTTTCTAAATAAATAAATATAGTCAACTATATTTAATATATAGTATTGTTTTAAAATTTCTTTTTCAATATTAGCTAAGTATAGATAATGTAGGCAAGCTAGCATCAAACTTGCTGCTATTACATATAAGAGATGTTGTTTCTTTTATGATATACAATATTTTATATATTATGAAGCAAAATAAATTTTTATTAGTAAAATATTCTGAAATATTAGTTGATTAAACAAGTGTAAATACATGAACAACGCCAGTTAATAAATAAAAATTATTATTATTATTATTATTATTATTACTATTATTGTTGTTCGTTTCGCTACCTTCTGTCAATATACAGTATATACTTATCTACATATTTGAAATGTAAGGTCATCATCGAAATGATGTAAATTACCCGGCGGTATTGTAAAACGTGGGTACTTACAAATGCGATCCAAAAGTACATCACTTTGTGGATGTAATTAAGAGGAACATATTTTAAAAATAATTTAAAAACTTTAATTAATATCTAAGATTTTTTTTAATTTAATTATTAACGCCCAGTCTTCTTTGGACAAATCTTCTCTGAATGATTCTTTCAACACGTCTATGGATTGACGAGAAATCTTGAAGTCGAAAATGGTTGATTAGAATAACTGTGTCAAAGAATTAACAATAAATAATAAATAAAAGGAAACATACCTTGCTATATAACTCATCAGATTCGGTGAAATGCCTTCCGTACATCTTTTGACTTTCGTATACTGCACTTTCCAACCTTATGGCTACGCCAGCTCCTGCCTGGCCTTTTTTAACGATTTCAACATTTTTATGGCTTTGTTCTATGCTTACAACTTTACCGAGTGAAATGGATTCACGTGCCTATCAAAGAGAAAGATTTAATGGATCTCCAGATAATAAAATGAATTGTTTTTTCATACATTACCTTCGTTTCAGCATCAACTTTCATTACGCATATAGGTGTTCCAGTTCGTAAAACACCTTCAACCACATCCACTCCAACTATAATAGGATCTCGCTTATTAAAAATCGCGCCAGGAATAATTTTGAGAATACAAGGGAAAACTGCTTGAGGAGCTTGATCTTTACGCTTTTGCTCCATTATTTCCTAATAATATGACGGTCTTCAGCACATTTTAGAGGGGTGTAAAATAATCAACTGTTGCTATCATACCTTATTATAAGCAGTGAATTGATCGAACAAATGATAAATAATGTCTGCCTTGAAAATTTTGACGCCCAATTCGTCTGCCAAATCTTGTCCTTCTTTATCGACTTTGACATCAAAGCACAAAATAACAGCTAACCTAAAAACCATGCACAAAAGATCATCAGAAAAAAAAATCTTATTAATACTTTCGATTTCAAAAGCAAGCGCTCACTCTTTCGCTTTCTCCAGCATGGTGGCTGCGCGCATTATATCTTTTTTGTGCACAGGACCAATATTAATTCCAGAAACTGGAATTTTGGATACTTTTAAGAATTCCAGGAGGGCTTCCAAAGAACCTAAGGTTGAAGCTTGCACACATACACCTCTACCAGATTTATCGATCGAGCTCATCAAACTCTTAAGATCAGACATAACCTCATCCTTGAGATCATCTTCATCGTCATCAGGCCCTACGACCATGAGACGGGAGCCAGCAATTGCTTTATCCAGATCTTGTGCAGAAATCTTTACACCGAGAGCAGCCTTCACGCTTTTATGATGAACGTAAGCAGATTTTATTCTCAACTCTCTCATAGGTTGTGGTGTCAGCAGCGCTCGAATGGTGGTGACTATAGGACCATTAAGGCCACAAAGTACAATCTTGTCGCCTTCATTAAGCACACCATTAGACAAAATAACATCGATTGTGGTACCATGACCTTCGATCACTTTAACCTCTAACACAGTGCACTCTAATTCTGACAAGTACATCAACTCATTGCTCATTCTAGATTGTGTTAGGTTTACTAACAGCATCAACATGTCGGGTATTCCCTCGCCTGTAATGGCAGATGTCGGAACGAGCGATACGTTTTTGGCAAAGTTCTTATTCTCGTAATACAAGCAAGAATTTAATCCCTATGATCGTTGATCATGCGAACATAAATATGATGAACGAAAATCAAAAGAACAAATAAAATCGATGGGAAATTACGTAACATAAGTATACCTGTTCTGAGAAAGCCAATATCGTGTTTTCAACTCTGTTTTTAAATTCACGCTTCACAGATTCTGATTGCTTGCTAAGAGAATCTTGGAATGCATTATCTGGTATGGATTTCCAGTCAAACAAACGGTCAATCTGTAATAACAATTCAACTTATGGTCAATATAACAAAAATAACAGGTCCAACCTTAATATCACAATACCTTATTCAGTGCTACGATAAAAGGTGCTTTACGGTCACGTAATAACCTCAAGGATTCCAATGTTTGTGGTTCTAAACCATGCTGTTAATTTTAAAATAAATTTAACGAATTAATATGTCAAATTCGCATTTTCCATTCGAATAACGTCTATTATAATTAAAGTTATCTAATCACCATGATATCGACTACAAGGATGGCAATGTTACATAGTGAGGAACCCCTGGAACGTAAATTTGTAAATGATTCGTGACCAGGTGTGTCTATTATTAAAAGACCAGGAAGTTTGTATTCTTGCGTGCCGTCCTAAAAAATAATAATGTAATGTTGGTGGTATACATGAAAATAAAATAAGCATAATTTATATAGATTACGTTACCTTATTAAGCGGAGCGGTTTTCATTTTTATAATTTCCATGGGAAAATAAGTGGCACCAATCTGTTGCGTTATACCACCAGCTTCGCCTTCTTGAACGTTCGTTTGTCGGATTTTATCCAGTAACTTGGTCTTTTGTAAAAAAATAAAGATTAGTAGATAATTTACTTACGATAAATAACTGATATCTAAGAAAGCAATATAACTTACATTGTGTGTTACAGTCAAGTCGCCGAGTAAAAAACGATGGTTTCGATCTACAACAAAGCCATAATATTCTCCTACACCTAGTTCGTCTATTTCAAATTTCCAAAGGTGCTCTCGTCTCTGAGCTCGAAGGAGTTCGCCATACTTTGAGAAAAAAGAATAAGATATTCAATAATTCTTTCGAATACAAACGATTCATGTTTTACCAACCTTTTTATTTGTGTTGATGATAGAACTATCATAGCCGCAGGATCGAGAAAGATGTAAAAATTTTCTCATTATACGATCATTCTTTCTTACAGACCCACCCTGAAATCCTTGACTATCTATTAAACCAACAAGCAGCGGTAGGCGAACTAAAGTTATTTCATCGTACATCATAATAGAAGGAATGTCCTTTTCTACTAAGATGTCAAGTTCTTGTAAAAGTCCGTTTAAAACATTTTGATTTGATCTATTTTTGGGATAGGCATTCTCATTATCGGAAACCTCCTCAGCACTGCATTCCGAAATGTATTTATTAATATATTGACTGACTTCTCCAATGCCTTCAAACCCACCACCGATCCAAAAGCCTATTAGCCAAGCACACAGTTTAACTATAGGAACGGACGCAGGTGCTCCAACGACTTGATCGACTATCCTAGAGAATGCACCTTCGCATCTTGAGAACTTAACTTCTTTGGGGGCATACATTCTCGCTTCCGCTCTCACTTCCGGATCACAATCAAGAAATTGTGTGACAGATGGTTGCCATATGAAACCTGGTCGTATTATAGTATAGGTGGACTGTGATTCTTCTATAGAATTTTTTGATTGATCAAGTAATTCCATGTCGTGAAAAGCAGCTCTTTCGGCATCAAGTGCGGTAGGATAGTCGATGCTTGGATACGAATACAATTTATCCACTTTTTGCACAAGATTCGTAATATGATTGAATACAAAATAGAGAAGACGGAAATAGGAATTTCCATTTTCAGAATCTTGATGATACACAGAAGGTCCAGAGGTTATTTTTAAAACTAGGATATGTGCATCGTTACAGACAAAAGGTTGCGCAAAAGGATCTTGTGTTGGTATGATTCTATATAGAAATCCTTTACCGTGGGTTACCCCACTGACTTTACGCGGTGTACTATCATCTCCCATAACTTGATCATTTTCTTTGATTGTTTCAACAGGTTTTATTCGACCATCATACATCATAATAGGAGTTCCTTTCCCGAAACATTTGCCTGCGAACATAGAAAAAATCAATAAACATAGTAAAAAATGGTAGGATGTTCACTATCGAGAACACCTTTAAAAAAGAACACTCGTCGTGAAATGAAATGTCTCCTACGTATTATATAGTAAAATAATGTCAGTTTATAATTTTCGCGAGATACAAAAGATGCTAACAATATACTTATCTGTGTCAACATGACCTAAGATACAGCAAATTGGAGACCGCAAGTTGTCCTTTGATCGAGCAGCGAGAGCTTGTTCAAGACGCGCCTAAATTTTATTTGAGTCAGGAGTTTCTGTAAAAATTTTATCTTTATAAAAAATTATGTTCATAAAAATATGAACCTTTCGGCGTTCAGCTGCTTCAGCTTTACGTTTCATGATTTGCTTCTGGTGTTCTGAGACTTCATCATCGCTTTCTGTTTCATCTTCCTCATCGCTTTCCGATTCGGACTCTTCTGTTTCATCCTCCGACTCCTCGGGTGGTTCAGACTGAGGAGCTTTAGATGAAGTTGACGGTTGTGTTCCTACCAGTTCCTGCTTCTTGACTGGCACATCTTTTGTTGAAGGCTTTATCTGTTCTTTCTTTTTGGCTAGCACATCTTTCGTTGATGGCGTTGGATGAGAATAATCCATAAGTCAAGATCAAACTTTAGATTCTAAATTTGAACAAAAAAATATTCATAAATAATATAAATATTACCTTGAGGTTGTGGAACCGTTTCATCTTCATCCGTTGTTGCATCCCAACTATCTTTGATACTGTCGTCATTTTCAACTGCCACAGCGTCATTTTTAACTGCTACGGCGTCATCCTCATCTTCCTCCCAACTTTCCTTTATGTTCTTGTTAATAGGTTCACCAGAAACCACCTCTTTTTCTTCTGAACCCTTCTCAGACACTTCGTCAAGATTCCCTTGAAAATATAAATTTTTAACGTATTGAAACCGACAAAATGGAAAGGAAAAAGCAACCTTAAATATAATTTATTTCAACAAACCTTCGGAAATCTGCGAAGAAACATCTGCTCCTGATATTGATTCTTTCGTTTCATTTTTAGGTTTCTTCTTTTTGCTCGCGTAAACAACCCTCTTTGGTTTCTGATCACCTTCCTTTTCTAGACCTTCTATCTTAACGCCAGCTTCTATCATTTGTTTTAACCTCAGTTGGGCTTGTTGTTGTTTAGCTTTTTGGGTTTTTGTTAACAGTTTACCCTCCTTCTTAAGTTGTTCCTTTTTAGCCTGAAAGAAGAGATTCATCATAAACATTAAATTTTTCACAAGCAATATTATGAAATCAGACTCTCACCTTTTCTTTCTCTTTTTTTAAACGCTTAGCCTCCTGTTTGCGTTGTTCTTCTTCTTCAATACGTCGACGTTCCTCTAATGAGAACAATACGCCAGACGGTTAATCGGGATCCGGAACGTATTGATTCCCATAAAATTACAAATTTCAGTTATCACCACACCTTCAATTCTCTTTTGTTCTTCTTCCTCTTGTCTTCGTCTTTCTTCTTCAGCAGCACTGAAAAAGGATCACGTAAACATAAAACTAATATGATTCCTCAACAAAGGTAAAAAAAAAAATTCTCATACCGTTGAGCTTCTAAAGCCGCTCTTATGGCAGCAATGGGAGCTTTTGATTTTGAAGATGTTTTCTTTTCTTCTTCGGCTGCTGGTTTCTTCTTTTTTTTTTTCTTTTTACCTTTTGATTTTGAATCCTCCTCCTCCTCTTCTTCGTCTGCAACTTCAGTTGCTACCGCAGGTGCTATCGGTTGCTTAACCTCCTCTTTGATCTCCTCTTTTGTTTCCTGTACTACCGGTTGCGATGGTTGTGATGCTTTTTTCTTTTCAGCCTCAGCCTTCTTCTTTTCTTTTTCCCTTTGTTTCTTTAGCTTTTCCTTTTCTTTCTTGCTCAGTAACTTGATCTCTCCATCTTCTTCGCCAGCATTTTCAGTACTAGGCACCTTTTCATCATGGACTTCCTTCTTCTTCTTCTTTTCTTTTTTACCGATCGATCCAAACTCTTCATCAGCCCAATCCTCAGGTTGCATCGATTGAACTTCCGTCACAACGACAGGTTCAGATTGTTCAATGGTCACGTCGTCATCAACATTCACCGATGAATCTTCTTCCTTTGCTACATTCTTTTTCTTCTTTTTTTTATCGGCTTTTGTCGCCTTAGAAATCTGTGCCATCAGACCGCCAAACTCATCGTCTTCGACAACTGGCGTAGGTTCTTGTGGCAAATCGGGATCAGCAGCGGGGATTTTAGAAATGGAGTCATCTACGGTGGGAAGGTCCTCCTCCCTAAAAGTTTCAATAATTCTTAAACTCGCAAACTTTTAAAAATCATTTGAAGTTTCACGGATCTTTTTGGATAACACACCAGTCGTCTACAGCCTTCTTTCTTCCTTTTTTATCCTTCTTACCCATAATAAAATAACAATGCTACCTAATGCGAATTCAATCTAGACTACAAAGAGGTGTGTTTGTGAAGGCAGACAAAAAAAAATTTTTTGTGGCACTTTTTTCAGGTCACGAGAAATCCGGCAGGTGACGAGTTGAAAGAATCCAATGATCCAATTAAGCCAAAAACGGAAATATAGGCTTAATCAAATAAATGCAAAATTTCCTTTGTCCTAACTTCTCAAGTTAATTTTTACGAAGCGCCTTTTAAAATGTCTAATCTAAATCCAGCAGCTTACGCTAATGGCGTGAACCTCACTAATGGAATAGTAGGTGTTCCCAACCCCGCCAGAGGTTTAACGCAGATGCACCTGGCTATGGGTCAAGTACAAGTACCGCCAGCATACATGAACCTCGGATTTCCCACAATGGTTCAAAACATGACAAATATAAATAATTCTAGATTACCGCCACAGGTGCAACTGGCTTTAGCACAGAATCAATCACCCCCCATATCGTGAGTATAAATTATGTTGTGCTCTTTCGAAAACAACACTATAATACTTTCAGCTTCATTCACACGCCCACTTTTTCTTTGAGTGATAGTCGGAACCTAGTTCCCTTTTATCCGAGGCGAGTCCTGCAGAATTATCTATTCTAATTTAAAAATATTTTTGCTCATATATCATCGAAATCTGAATAATCGAATTTAGGAATCGAGAAGTTAATCAAAGAAATGCTTTTTTCTTTTTTATTCAACCCACCCATCTCACAAAAAAAAACTAAACATAGTAGGCCAATGATGCAAGGATATTTCATACTGCAACTTCAGTTTCTCAGCGAACACCTAATGTCTGAGGTGAAGATAAGAAGGATCACTGTTAACTTTGCTTAAGCCAGCGTTTTGTCATTCTAATTATCTAATAATTTACTAAATCATCGGATAACTAGAAAACTGCCGACAAAAAAAATATAACGTATTGGAATCGTATTATAGAAGAATTCTTTTCGGAGGATGGAAAAATGAAATATGAACTGTGGAATCAAACCAATAACCAAAAGAGAACATTTGGTAGTTATTTTTTGTGACTGCTTTCATTCGCAATGACGTAACCAGTATCGCCTGTTTACCGAATCTTGGGTGTGGATCCAACGTGCTGCATAATTCGTATACGGAATTTCAGCAATTTTTAACAGTATACTGGTTGCATCAAATCGAGTGATGGCCTGTTTCTTGTTGGACTTCGAATCAACATAACAAATATTAAGTGAATTTATATTGATTTATTAGACATACCGTGTCCTATCATTCCAAGATTTTTCCACGTAAACTTTGAATCCGGTGTTATATCAATACAGCTAACGATCGGCAATCTCAGAGAAAATATAGTGATGGTTCAGATGCAACCCCAGCCTCAGACAGCCGCAATAGTAGAGGGAAAAACTTCGATCATATATAAATACGAAGACGGATCAATGGTATGCATTAGAATGTATAGAATTTTATCTTATATATTTATCTATGTTAATTATAACACGTGATTTAGGTTGTAGCCACGGGAAAGCTCAAAGTGAGATTTAATATGGCTCGCAAAATAGAGTCCTTTGAATTTTCGACCGATAAACACACAGAATATGTACCACGTCACAGTCATATACCGAACGAGAGTCCGATTGGTGAATATGGCATACCAGTGAAAACATTAAGAAGTCTCGAAGTAATTTCATTTTAGATGGAATTACCAATTTTCCAAGTGCGATTGACGCAGATATAATAACATTTTATATGAAATTTGCAGGTTGCTGAAGGAGTGGTATCACTAAACGAGTTAATATCTCTTGCCATATCTTCGAACAAGGGACCTCTCGGTAAGACAGAATTATTATTATTATTTGGGTTAATAAATTCCTTGCTAATCTCCACTAAATTCCGTTTTTGTAGAAGTGCTGGCTGCAGTGGCAAATCAAGACCAACAAACACAGACGATGATAAATCAATCAAATCACAATACTCCTCCTACACCCGGTCCGTCACCACCAGAGCCGCCGGCAAAAACACCTAAGGAAAAAACGGAAAATATAGCGTCCGATAACACGCAAACATCTACTTCCAATGACTTTACTGATTCCTCGCCCTCAACATCAAATGCTAATTTGAAATTAGAATCTACCACGAAGTCAGCATCTGAATCCCCAAGTCTAACTAGTAAGTTAATGTTGTTTTTTTTGGTAAAAGTTACAAGAAGTTAAACCGCAAAATTGTTGTTAGATAAGAGACCAATCGCGCCAAATGAACCTCCGAAGATAAAACGAACGCGAACGAAACCTTCCCCGAGAAAGAATAGTCGGACGGAAACCGGCTGACTGAACTTGGAGGAACGATTGTGTGTAACAATTCATCCAACACTTGTATTTTCTTCTTAGTCAAAATCCTATTGCATAATTCTGTTGTACTTAGTATTATATTTGTAACATCATCATTCTTACTCCATACACTTCGAATTTTTCTCTTATTAGTAGATACTGTAGTCATATAACAAATTAATCCCATAAAATATTTTAATTTTTTTTTTTGGGATGATTCCGATGTAATGTATTAGGTAGAACAATTTTCGTTTGATATATTTTGATAGAGCATAATTATTTCTTATTTTTGATACTTGGTAAATAAAGATGCCGACGCAAATTAATATTTATCAACGGTGGAGTTTGTCTTGCCTCCGAGGTAGGGATTTTTTTTTTTTTCTCATGTTCTGAATGGTTTGCAAAAAAATCAAATCCTTTGAATTTATTCTTGGTAATAAATAATGTCCTTAATGAAATTATAATTCGACATCGACGAATTGGTACGGTAAAAATTTACAAATTTATATTTATCACAACCAATTCACAAATTTTTAAAAAAAAATTCGCGTCAAATTTTCGCAAAAGTTGTGAAATCGAAACAGGGCGTCATGTTAGAAAAATTATCACTGTCCTAAATAACTAAAAATAGGCTGTGAGATGTTTATTTTATTATTTAAAAACTTATATACGGTATATGGATAACTAATTATCTTTGTGGGCGGTGGTTTTTTTTTGGACCCTTTATTGTTTAAAAACGAAGACGAAAAATAATAATTACGCATATAATATTCAATATATTGTACACATACTGTACATAGACATCTAAATTAATTTCAAATTCTTAATAATATTTATAATAATCATTATCAAAAAAAAAAAGTTATCATTCAAATACATACATGTATACATTCAATAATTATTCATTGATAATTAATTACTGATCAAAACCAAAAAAAATCGGTATATTTCAAAGTTTTATTTATCTATTGCTAATTATGAAGTTGATTTTTTTTTTTGTAATTTGTCAAGATTTATCAAATCAAATCAAATATAACTTGATATTTTCTAATAAAAATTTTAAAAATTTTTAATTGATTTTAATTATTTAATCAAGTTGCAAATCAATATTTATTAATTTTTTATAAATAAAAAATATAACAATACAATATAAATATTATATTATAACTAAATAAATTACTTGCTACAATATATTTATTATAAATTTATATGATTTTTGAATACTTAATATTAAAATTATTATTTATTAACTATTTTATTACAAGTAAAATTTATAATAGTATTATTTTTTTTTATTTTTTTTTAAATAAAAGATGCTACTATGTATAATATTTTTATTGAGTATTTAATTATTTACTTTACATTTTACAGTTTTTCTTTTTACAGATTTAATTCACACCTAACATCTATATAATTTAATTACAGTATGTATAAAAAAAAAATGACTTTTTTTTTTTTAATAATTTTTTAAATTTTTAATTAAATTTTATGTACAATATTTTATTTAAAAAATAAAAACATATAAATTTTTATTTATAAAAAACAAATACATTAATAAGGAATTTGATCGCCATCATTATCGATAATTAGCTGACAATGATGTTTCATTGATTTAACAAGATTAGCTAAAGTATTAGTTGGAATTTTTTGCTATTCTTCAATTATGAAATGTTTTAACTTATCAAGATTTGATAGTAACCACTTTTTCTCACTATTTTTAATGATACCCCATAGGTTTTCTATAGAGTTAAGGTCCAGGCTATTGGCCAGTTAATCAATAATCTCAGGGAAAGTCTTGTCAACAAACTCTTAAGTAATTTGGCTTGTATGCTTCAAGTTATTATTCTGTTGAAACCTCCATTGCCTATCAAGCATTCTTCTGATTTTTGAATGGTGTTGATGCAAGATTTCGACATAAAATTCAGCATTTATGATATTAGTAAAGCAAAATAAAGATGTTTTGCTTTTGATATAAATTCTCTCAGGCAAAAATTTTTTGTTTGTTTTTAGAAAATGGCCTAATTGGTTTATGGTTCTTGTATCATTGTTTTATTATGTTCCTAAATAAAGAAAAAATTGTCTTATCAGAAAACAGGATTTGTTCTCAACTATCGTTAAGATGTTTTATCACTTATTTAACCTGCTTTTCCTTATGAAGATCTATAAGTATTGGAGTATCCACTGGAAGAGTATTTTTATAAACCAAGCTCTTTAATTTCCTTCCTACAGTCAAGTGTGATATGGACTCTCCATCCCTGGAAAGTTTTATGACCAAAGTTCGCAAAGATAAGGAGCTATTCTTGTTAATATAACATCTGAGAACATGTACCTTTGCCAATCTAATCTTTTTTGGACAACCGTTACTTCTCAAATATGTAATATTTACAGTTTTTTTTATTTTTTGGATATTGTACTTAATTGTAGAGCGAGAAATGTTGGTAAGCTTTTGGAATTCCTTAAGCAAACATATTTTCTGATTCCAGAAATAAAGAATTGTTTGACATTAAGAAGTTAACCTGATGTTGGATATTTTTTTTAAAAAAATTTTTTTATAGAGTAAGGCTATTTAAATATGTCAGCATATACAAGAAGTTATATAATACTATCACTATAATTATTGCACAATTGTGTTAATTATTTATTAACTAATTTTAAAAGAAAAATTGTAATTAAAAAAGCCAATTTTTTTTTATACATACTATATATCAATTAATATTAAGTAAATATAGTATATTAATATACTAGATAGAATTATTAAAAAATAGAAATTCTATTTATATTTTAAATTATCTAACCTGATTAATTCAAATATGTTAAGGTTCAATCTTAAATTTTAAGTCTTAAATTAAGTTTTAATTTTTTCTTAATACATATTAGTCTTATATAAATTCTTCTATTATATCTTGTCTTTAACTCATATAGTTATAATAAAGTAATTCATAATAAAAACATATACTTCCTAGTAAATACTTTAAAAATATTATTCTTTAGTTAATTATTTGCTATCAAACTTAGGAACTATAATAGTCAAATAGAACACAACTTCTTGATTTTCTAATAGATATTACTAAAAGCTCTTGGTTAATATAAGCTATCAAATTTAAAAATATAAATATCAAGCAAGATACAACTTCTATATACAATATTATTTAAGAGCTATTACTGTTTTGTTTTTATATTCCATGTTGTTAGTATTTACATTATATAATTTCTTTAAAGCTAGCTTATATTGTATTAACATATTATATAATAAAGTTTATTATATAGATACAGTAATTATTTTCAAAGATGGACTGGAAATTTTCTGGTGATCCTAAAATTTATATTATATATGTATTGTTTAAAAGTTGAATCTGAAAAAATTATATATAGGAAACTCTTTCCCACTTCTCCTTCTGTGCTTGAAAATTTCCTTTTTAGAAAATTTTTGAATTGTTTACTCTTTTTTCTTTACTTTTACCTTTCCCCTTTTCCATATCTTTTTATTTTCTCTTTCCTATTTCTTACCCCTCCTTTCTTCAGACTCTTTTATATAAAACTTACTCCTTCCCTTTCTTTTTCCCCTTTCTTGCCAAAGTTGGATTTTTCCTTCTTCTTGAAGGTTTTCTTTCTAGACCTCTCTTTCTTTTATAAACTTATTCTCTATAACATCAACCCCCTGGCTAAGGATGGGTTCCTAAACTATTTAGCATATAAAATTTCACAGATCAATTATGTCCCTTTTAAAGAGACATAATTATTTATTTATTACTTTAATAGGAACATAATTCAAAAAACACTTGAATTAAATGTTCTAAATTGTAAAAAACCTTTATAGGTAGTTTTTTTTTGACCTTATATTTAAAAAAAAAACTTTTTTAATAGTGAGGAACATTTGAATTATGTCCTCACCTTTAATTTAGGAACTTATCTTTACTCCTGGCTAGTCGGCTCTCTTTTCTCAAGACCATATACAGAAGTGATAACTTTTCTTAAGACATGGGCTTCAAAATTTTCTTCTCTTTCATGGCCTCACAGAAAAAGGATGGATGGCTTACCTCTCCAAAAGATCAACATGGTCATTATTACCAAATCCGATATTGTTTACTTGTTGATGGTTAAACTAGATACATTTAAGAAACCGGTATACAACTATTATTATCCGAAAGTATTCAAGGAGTTGTGTTCTACTGTATCCAAAAGAATATGGTAGCCAATACCAATGTAATTAACAATAAGCCAGGTTAGTCTGCAGGTGTCATGCTAGTGATTGAAGAAATCTAGTAGAATAATACGTGAAGATCAGAAATTCTAGTTATCCCCACAACACGAGCTGGTAATAACAACAAAAGTTTCTCACTTACCCTTCTGACAATATAGGCTCATTATACAAGGTTAGGTAACAACATCTATAAGAAACTCCAACTCCATAACATCCATAACATCCAATAATGATTATTAACAATCACTACTACATGTCTAAACACTTCTCCTCTATTTCCTCCTGCCCTATACTTGTATTGGATTCTACCTGATTGCTTAAATAATATGGCTATGTATGTGAAGCTTTTGATAAAGAGCAGCTGTTCCCTTCCCTACTTGCTGTAGGTGCCACAGACTTGAATAACCTGTAATCTGTCACAATTCTAGAAGGGTAAAGAAGGTTAAATACTAGGTGGTCAGATAAAAGGCTAATCTCTACTGGATGTCCTAACCGGAGTAGCAATCACTTAACTAATTGAGCAAGTTATTCAGGTGAAGTATAAGATGAAACACATTTGGCTTGTTATACATCAAGCTACATTTGGAAAGCAAGCTTGTCAATCCTAGTCATGACTTGGAGGCCAATCTGTATATAGTGGCTGCAGCATCTTCATGTGATTAGGTTTCAAATTCTTCTAGAAAGCTAAATGCCATTCAAGATATAATATAGGTTTTGAATTTCTTTTTCTTATATTCTTGAGTGGTGCCAAGAAGCTTAGGCAGAAGGGCCTTCAGTGAGCCTGGCATTTAACTCTTCC